TTCCCCCAGAGCAAGGCACCCCCAGTGCCAGGAGCACCCCCCCAATCAAATCCTCCTCCTCCTCCTCCCCCTCCCACCCCGGAGAGCCAGGCACCGGAGGAACGGGGCTGGGTAAGGAAACCTTACCTTTAAAACCATTGCTCCTCCCACCCAACTTGGCTGCTTCAGCTTGGAGTAGAGAGCCAGTAGCATGTAGTCAGCAGCTCCCGGGTCTCGGTTGAAAGCATCACGTGGCCCAGAACAGCGTGCGCTCTAGTCCCACCCCAGCTCGGTGCCTCCCTAACATGGTGCCTGGGGGTAACTGTCTCCCTCTTCCCCCCTTCGCTACGTCTCTGGTCCCTGGCCCCGATCCTGGGGCAGATCCTGGGGCAGAGCATCTGGCCGCAGAAAGGGCTGGTGCCACCCTGCCTCCTGTTGTGGCATGGATAGGAGGAGAGGCCATGGTCCAGGTGCAACAGCCAGCGGGGAGTTGGTAAGCATAGCGAGCAGGGAGTGCAGCCCCCTAGTTTTGATGGCCACTTTGCTTAAAAGTGATTTAATTCGTAATATCAATTAACTTTGTAACATCACAGAACGGGAGACTAATTTAAGAAAGTGAAAGCATTACACACTGCTGGCCTACTAAAAATAAAGTCAAATCTGTTGTTTTTTTTTAATTTGCAAATATAAAAGCTTCTTTAAAAGTAATACTTGAACTAATATCTTTAGGACTCAAAAGTAGCAAATTAATAACTTCTCTTTATATAGTTACTAGAAGAGATATCTGGCATTGCTTGGGTCTTGAACTCAGTTTTTGTGTTTTTGGAAAATGAAATGGTAGGACTGGAGATAAGGGTCTCAGTGTGGAGGTTCCCCCAAGGAGAGACTACCACCCCATCCCTCTCTCAGCGCAGCAGCTTGGGGCCAAGTGAGAAGCACCTTTCTATTGCTTCTGCAGTTCCAGTGGGCACACCTAGGGGAGTGGTGTATGTTCCCTAGCTAAGGCAGGTGTAGGTTCGTCTGCTGGCAGTGGGGAGAGGGAGACTCCCCTCCCGCCCTCCCTAAAGGGTTCTTTAGGGGCGAGAATCTCTGTGCTGGGGCAGTCCCGGGGGTGGGGGGAGGATGTGTGATCCCAGCCAGCCCTTTTAACCTGCTTTGTGATTCTGTCTCTTTTCTATGTGGTTTTATGAGAAGCAATCCCATTCTGGGCACATCCTGTTTTTCTGGCACAACCAAACCCTTTCCTTGGTTTAAGTTCTGATAAGAGAAAAATGCATATTGAATTTGGTGGTCCTCACTCTTACCTTTTAGGAGTTCTTGAACAGAGAGGCAGACAAAGTCAAATAAATAGATTAGAAGATTTATCTGGTGTTGCTCAGGTTCTTAACTCAATTAATTTTTCTTATTCTGGAAAATAAAATAAAAATGTACATGCTTCATTTAAAACATTGCTCTCGGGTGAGGCTGGGTATGAGGGCTTCAGTACAGGCTTCACTGTGAAGAGAGGACTACCCTAGCCCTCTCTCAAGACAGCAGCTTGGGACCTGATTTGAAAGCACCTCTATATGACTGCTGCAGTTCCAGCAGGCACAGCCTGGGGAGGGGTGCATATCCCCAAGCTGCGGCAGGTCCTAGTTTGTCTGCCCAGTGTGCCCCCCAGCCAGAGTGAGGAACATAGCAAACTGTGCATTTTCCTCTTACTCCCTGATGAAGGGGAACAGCCAGCAATGTTCCCATACAAAAGCTTCAGCCCCCCCCGTCCTCCCTAAATGGGAATTGGGAAGCTCAGGGCTGGGGTAGTCCCGGGTGGGGGGGAAATGTTCTCAGCCAGCCCCTGCCTGGTGATTCTTTTTCTTTTCTGTATGGTTTGATGAGAAGCAGTCCCATTTTGGGCACATCCCTTTTTCCAGGCACAAACAGGTCCTTACTTTGCTTGAAGTTCTGGCAAGAGGAATCTGTATATCAAATTTGGTGGTCTTAGCTCTTACCATTTAGGAGAAGTTCTTGAATAGACACACACAGAGACAAATGTGTAGTAGAGAAGAGCAAGCCTTAAGGCAGGGGTTCTCAAACTTTTTGATAACGCAACCCCCTAAAATGCTCATTGAATTTGTGTGACACCTCCACACACACCAAAGTTGTTAAGCAAAAAGAAAAAAAAAGTGGGAGAGCCAAAAAGAGTTAAGCAAAAAAAAAAAAAGCCCCACTCGTGCTTGACTCATCCCTCCTGCCGTCACTGTGCTGCAGGGAAGCCGCAGCGGGGCTGATACTCCCTCCCACATCGTGCCTGGCACACTACACAGCTGTGGGAGGGGAGCACATTTCAGGAATCCCCGGAAGTGGCGCGAAGGACCCCGGGGAACCCGGCAGCTGCGACCCCCCCCTGGGGGTCGCGACCTACACTTTGAGAAACGCTGCCTTAAGATATTATGGACCAAACTCTTAAAACAAAATATAATATTTGTATAATAACATCTCTTTGCCCAGAATTTTAGAAAATTAACTAGAATTGATCTCATGATTTTTCTTACTGATCTTACACCAGTCTACCAGATTGAGTAATTTTTAATTCCCATTCTTGTTTAATAAGATGTTTGAATAAAATGCAAATCTCATTTTTGACAGATGGAATATTTAATATCTTCTTTTCAACTTAGTTTAAGGAAACATTTGTTTAGAGTTGACATTCAACTTGTTGCTGAATATATGATTAAATATGTAACTTTTTTAATGTGACATTTTTAAATTAAAAAAACAAGTCTGTTCATTGCTCTGAATGTTTGTATTGAGATTTTTTCTTTATCAATTAACATTCTTTTCTGACTCTATTATTTGAATTTAAACATAATTTGTTGCTGCTTTTGTAGATTCCCGTGGAAGAGCGAACTGTACAACTGGTAACATTACATGAAATTTTAGAGGTAAAGTGATATTTGTATGTGGTGCCACTTTTTTTTCTTACAGTGCTCAAAATCTGCAATTGTTCATTAGCAAAATGAATGATAGTGTGTTAAAATAATTAAAATAATAGAAATAGCGTTCAAAAAATCTTACTGGGTTCCTCTTTTAATTCTCAGAGCATGCAAAGTAACTGTCTGGTACTAAACTTATTTAATATTTAAATATAATTTAGAAAACTGCACATATAATTTGAACTGGAAAATTATAGGCTAAATTTCAAGATACAAAATCAAACTTAAGTTCTTTTTATATTCACTAATTTTTAAGTAGGGCTTTATAACTTTTTACTTCATGGTTCGCATTAGAAAAGAATTTTTAAAATGGGTTGGTTAAAATTTGAACTAAAATGTTTATCTTTTATGTTTTGTACTATTTGAATGTACGCAGTTAAAATATAATGCAGCATTAAGTCAATTTCTAATATATTCATTTTGTTGAGTTATTCAATTCAATTTGTAGGAATTGATAGATCTGTGTTCAGTATATATATTTTTTTAAATTGCCAAGGATGCTCAGATTGAGTGGACACTTCTATTATAATTTGTAAAAATTCAGATAAATTATTAATTTGCAAGACATAAATCTGATGGATCTAAAAAGGTTTTTTTGGATGATATCACCTTCTCTACCCTAAACTTAGTATTTGGAATACAGACTTTTTATAGCAAACTCTCTGAGAAACCTCCTTGAAGAACAACAGTTGTTCTCAGGGAAGGCCTGAGAAATGTTAACATTCTTCTTCAAGTGCTTGCTTATGTCCATTCATAAGGTGTGTGTGTGTGTACCCCGTGCACAAGTTATGGAAGCTTTTTCCCCTTAGCAGTCCCCGTTGGGCCAGCAGGGGAGCCCCCTGGAGTGGTGCCTGTATATCCTAGCATATAACCCCCTGCTGGCCCTTCACCTCCTCAGTTCCTTCTTTCTTCCCGTGGCCGTTGCATTGCTGGAACCCTCTGCTTGCCTTTACAAGTGCACCATTAGCTTTCTTATGTAAATAATTTCTCCTTAGGAGTAGTTAGCAGTTGATTGTTAGTAGACAGTGATTAGATAGTATTGATAGTAGTTTCCCCACTTCCCTCCGGGAGGAGGGCATGCCAGGGCTTCAAACCCTGTCACCAGTCCTCCAAATCCATGCCCCGCGGAGATCCACACAAAGATTGTTTGAAGTGCCATTTAACTAACGCCTGCAAGTTCTGCAGTTCCTTTAAGCTGAGTACGCAGAGGGAGAGAGACTCCAGGCTTAAGCTCTTGTTAATGGAGTCAGTACTTCAGCCGCTGGCACTCTCAGTAAAGAGCGTACTGGCGTCGACTAGAGAGACTGAAGGGGCTCCAAGGCACACGGCGCCTTCCCGGCACTGATCTCAATCGCTGGTGCCATCGACTAGTGAATGGACACAAAGTGAAAGGTCGCTGCGGAAGCAGGACCGGAGTGCCTGCCCCTGGGAGCCGGTGCTTCAAGGGAGGAGCCCAGTAGGATCAGGAGATGAAGGGGGCTAGGACCTGTCCCTGGAGGAGGTCCGGAGGCCATCCACGCCAGAGTCATTCTCTGCAGCCCGGGAGCTGATAGAGCTCACGGCCTCCCCAGGCCCAGCACCGCATCGAGGAGCACATGGGCCGCGAGACCCATGTGCCTAAGCCAGCCCTAGCACTGCAGCCAGCACTGCCCAGGCCTTCGCCCAGGCAAGAGCGAGTCCGTCCATGGAGCAGGAGGCACCATGGAGGAGGGCACCTCTTCCTGCAGAGTCGGAACCAGAGTCCCACGCCATGCTGCCCCCACCGGTACTGCCTGTACCCCATAGAGGGAAACCAACTGCCATGGCTCACCATGCAGCACAGGGGGATCAAGGGTCTTCTGCACTGCCGTGGTCGGCGACGGAATACTCTTCAGAGTCTGATATGGAGTCTCTGGTCTTGTCAGTCTCCTCTCGATGGTTGGCTGCATCTAGGGAGTCTCGCTCGTCCTGTAGGTCGGCACACCACTCCAGTTCAGGTCACCGGTCCTCATCTCAGCACCACTTGGAGCATCGCAGCCCACCCATGGCCCCCACACTGGCAGCAGCCTATGCAGCTGCCTTTCTGGACACTGTGGGCCTATCATCAGGTGCAAGGCCTGACATATCGAGACCAGGGTCTATGGCGATCTCGGTGCACTGTAGCCGTAGGTCTGCCTCCTCGGCCATCCCGCTCACCAGGGACCCAGGCTCAGAGATTGAGGTTGAGAGGTGAATCGGCTGAACCACCCCAGCAGGCCCTGCACAGAGCCCTGGTCCCAGTACTGAGCCTGGCACCACGGTTATGGTTCAACCCCAGCTGCTGGATTCCTCATCACTGGACGAGGCTTTAGCAGATCCATCTCCTGGCATGCCTGTGACAGACATGTGAGCCCATCAGGACCTCCTCAAGTGCCTCGTGCAGAACCTGGAGATACAGGCAGAGAAGGTTAAGGAGGAGGAGGATCCGATGGTGGACATTCTTATGGCTGATATCCCGGCTAAGATCGCCCTCCCTCTGAATAAAACGGTGGTAAAGATAACCAAGACCTTATGGCAGACACCAGCCTCCATTCCCCCGACACAAAAAGGGGTTGAGAGGAGGTATTTCGTGCCCCAATCCGGGCATGAGCATCTCTTCGCACATCCACCACCGAGTGGTGGCTCAGCAGTGGTTCAGGTGGCTTGGCAGGGGCAGTGGAGCCCTACTCCGAAAAGTAAGGAGCCAAAGAAGTTGGACCTGCTGGGGCGGAAGGCATATGCTATTGCGGGCCTACAACTGAGGATCGCAAACCAGCAAGCAATGCTCAGCTGGTATGTGTAGAATTCTTGGGTGGCGGTGGACAAATTCAAAGACCAGCTGCCCCAGCCTTCCCAGCGGGAGTTTGCTGTCTTTATGGAGGAAGGAAGACTACTTGCACGAACAGTGCTGCAGGCCGCCCTGGATGCCGTGGATTCGGCAGCTCAGGCCATGGCCACGGGCATTGTTATGTATAGAGGCTCGTGGCTCCAGATCGCTGGCATACTGCAGGACGTCCAGGTGACGTTGCAGGACCTCCCCTTCGAGAGCTCTGAGTTGTTCTCGGAGCAAACAGATGACAAGCTACATACCCTTAAAGATTCAAGGGCCACCCTAAAAACCCTGGGCATTCACACCCCAGCCCCGCAGCAGCATCCACTCAACCAGAGGATGCAGAGAGGCTATCAGCAAGGGCCGCGGTTTGATAGTAGGAGGAGGTCTAGGGCTCCCACAGCCAGGGGGAATAGGAGGAGATCACGGGGTCCCACGACCAGAACCCCGGATCCTCCAATAAGTCCCAGGGGCCTAGGCCCAGCTTTTGAAGGTGTGCCCGAGGCTGGAGTTCCAGTCGTTCCCATAGATCGACTCTTTTGCCAGGGGCTATCCCCCTTTTTCTGGGCCTGGTGAGCTATCACCATGGACTGTTGGGTACTGGACACGGTACAGAGGGGATACTCTATCCCATTCCTTTCTTCTCTGCCATCCCATCCCCCTTCCCTGTCCCTTTTCAGGGACCCCTCTCACGAGACCCTGCACAGGCAGGGAGTCTCCATGCTTCTTTCTCTAGGGGTGGTAGAGGAGGTCCCCCTATCCTGCCAGGGAAGTGGCTTTTATTCCCGCTACTTCCTGATCCCAAAATCCAAGGGGGGGTCACCACCCCATCGTGGACCTAAGGGGAGTCAACGCCTTCTTAAGAAAGTCAAAATTCAGGTTGGTGACACTAGCCTCCATCATCCCCTCCCTCGATCTAGGAGACTGGTACGCTGACCAAGTGCATAAGGGGCTGCACGTTTACCCTTACACCTAGACGACTGGCTGATCGGGGCAGTCAAGGGGCCAACTTTTGTCCAACATTGACCTAGCCAGGGAAACGTTCTTAGGGTTGGGGCTCATACTGAACAAAGAGAAGTCCATCCTTACTTCCACCCAAATGATAGAGTTTGTGGGGGCACATTTGGATGTGATGTGTGATAGGGCGTCACTTCATGTCCACGGTTCCTATCCCTGGATGACATCATTCGTGGCCTCCAGGCTTCCCCCATGACCAGGGTGCAGAACTGCATAAGGCTTTTGGGTCACATGGCAGCATGCACGTATGTGGTGTGACATGCCAGGCTCTACCTCAGGCCTCTCCAGAACTGGCTGGTGACGGTGTATAGGCCAGCCCGCGACCATATCGACCTAGTGGTGATGGTCCTTCCAGTGATCCTATCGACCCTGAACTGGTGATTGAGGGACTCCGAAGTATGCGAAGGGATCCCGTTCCACCATCCCTCCCCCACGGTCCAGCTGGTGACCGATGCCTCCAATGCAGGACAGGGTGCCCACCTGGCGGATCTTCGTACGCAAGGTATGTGGTTAGGGGCAGAAAGGAACCTGCATATCAATGTCAGGGAGCTGAGGGTGATTCGGCTGGCTTGTTGGACATTTATGCCCCAGCTACAGGGGAAGTGTGTGTCCAATCTCATGGACAACGTGATGGTGGTGTACTACATCAACCGTCAAGGTGGTGTTTGTTCCTCTCCCCTGTGCCAGGAGGTGCTAGCTCTCTGGGATCTGTGCATTGCGCAGGGGGTTCATTTGCAGGCCACTTACCTGCCGGGGTCATGCAACACCCTGGCGGAACCTCCAATCCCTCCTCCTCAAGGCTTGGATGATCAGTGGCTGCGGGTGCTGGGGAGCAGAACTCCTTTGCTCAGACCCGGTGAGGAAGATACTCATGGAAAGTAGGAAACCCTCCGCTAGACCATCCTACCTAGCCAAACAGAAGAGGTTTTCTATTTGGATCAATCAGAAAGGGGCGGCCCCGGAAAGGGCCCCTATTCCTCTTATTTTGGACTACCTTTTCAACCTCCAGGGCCAGGGGCTGTCTACCACCTTGATTAGGGTACACCTGGCGGCCATTACAGCCTTCCACCAGGGAGAGGGTGGAGGGGTCACTCTTTGTGCAGGATATGGTGAAACACTTCCTGAAGGGATTGGACAGGTTATACCCCCACATGCGTCGGCCAGTGCCGCAGTGGGATTTGAACCTGGTACTGCGAAGGCTCATGTGCCCACCGTTGGCTACGTGTTCTCTCTCCCACCTCTTGTGGAAGGTAGCGTTTCTGGTGGCCTCAGCCAGGAGGGTTTCTGAGCTGCGGGCCCTCTCCTCAGAACCTCTGTACACAGTGATTTCGAGGGACATGATGACGATGCACCCACACCCGGCTTTCCTCCTTAAGGTAGTTTCCCTGTTCTGCATGTCCCAGGAGATGTTCCTGCCAGTATTCTATCCAAAGCTGCATGCGAATGAGAAAGAGAGGGCACTCCACTCACTGGATGTTAGGAGGGCTCTTGCCTTTTATTTAGACAGGACGCGGTTGTTTCGCAAGTCCACTCATTGTTTGTCTCCATAGCAGACAGAATGAAGGGTTCCCCATTATCAGCTCAGTCTTTTTCGTCATGGATTACATCGTGTATCAAGACCTGTTACAATCTTAGAGGGAGGGTGACCCCTCCTATCACGGCCCACTTGACTAGGGCCCAGGCCTCCTCCATGGCCTTCCTAGCCCAGGTGCCAGTCATGGATATATTCAGGGCGACCACCTGGTCCTCGGTCCACGCCATTGCCAAGCATTATGCCATCACGCAACAAGCTAGTCAGGACACAGCGGTAGGTCAGGCAGTGCTGCAGTCCGTTTCGCTCTAGGTTCCGACCCCACGTCCTTAGGGGTTTGCTTGGCATCACCTAGACGGAATGGACATAAGCAAGCACTCGAAGAAGAAAAGACGGTTACTTACCTCGTAACTGTTGTTCTGTGAAATGTGTTGCTTATGTCCATTCCGATCCCGCTCACCTCCACCTTTGTTGGACTCTCCGACAAGAAGGAACTGAGGGGGTGGAGGGCCAGCAGGGGGTTATATGCTAGGCTATACTGGCACCACTCCAGGGGGCTCCCCTTCTGGCCTAAAGGGTACTGCTAAGGGCAAAAAGCTTCCAGAACTTGTGCACGGGACGCACACACACACCTAGACAGAATGGATATAAGCAACACATCTCGAAGAACAACAGTTGCGAGGTAAGTAACCGTCTTTTCTGGTGCTAAGATGCTAAAATCCAGTCACTATGACATTGTTGTGCTTCACTTTAAAGTGCAGACTAAGAGTTTTTGTACTTATGTCATTAAATTTATGCTTCATGTTACATGCCTCAAGTATCTCAGCATGCCTTTTAGTGCCAAATTAGGTAGGGCTTGAAAACAAATGAAATATGAAAGTAGCCAAATGAGTTACTAAACCCAGTGGAAATATAATTTCAAAAAAAATTATACCTTAAAATTACTTTTCATATTCCCTTAAGTGATATTAAACACATGTAAAGTATTAAAACACCCAGAGGTCTGATGTCTGTTTGAAAGAATAAACTAATTTCAGAAATTCAGATTTTTTTAATATTAATTATCTTACCCTAAACTTTGAGTGTCACTGATCTTTGTTTTATGTTTTTCTTGAGCCATTTAGAAGCCATAGGGAGGGTGGTGTAGCAGCTAATGTGAGTAGAGATGAAAGCATGGGTAGGATTTAGGCTGATATGGCTGTCAAGGTAGTGGCATTTACAGACATTATTTGTGAAGTTGGCAGTAGATAGATTTACAATTACATGGGCTCAAAGAAAAGGAAGAAAGACATAAAGCTAATCAGATTGCTGACAGAGTCAAATGCAAAATTTAGGTTAAGGAGGAAAAAAGAACAGATGTAATTGTTTTGAGAGTACGTATCGTGGCTTGGGAGGGGCAAAGGGCCTTTATATGTATAAATGAACAAAATTGATTAAAATGTTTATTCACTTGCTTAAGACATGCAAGGGAAGTAGATAGTGAGGAAACGTTTTAAAGGCATATAAAGATGTATCTCTGAATATCATAACTAAAATTAGTAGTTAAGGTTAAAAGTAATTAGATAATGACTGGAGAGGGAGAGCAGAAAGCTAAAAATAGAACCTTTTTAGACTCAGAAGGCAATTTCTTGGCTCATCATTACTGAAAGAGTGGCTAGACAGGTCAGAGAATGAAGTCTGAAGGAAGGTGAAGGAGAAGGAGCAAAAGAATCATTTGGGAGATACATTACTGTGAAACGAGATAAGTAGTATCTGTTGGTGGGTATGAAAGAGAAATGTATCTAAAATAAAGGTTTGCTTAATGACCTTTCAACTTTGGAAGCCTGTTAAACAGATATTAAACCTTAAATACCTAAATTGTCTTTGTGTGCTTTTGTTTTAAAAACCAAATACATTGCAGTTATATTCCATTATCTTTTGACTGAAGATTTTGCATAATTATGTATATACTTAAAAATACTATATATGCTTATGATTTATTGTGGGAAATTAGAATATTGTTAAATAAGGGAAGAGAATCAACTTCAGATTTTATATTCAACAATTTGATACTTTAAAAAAATCAGTGAAACATTCTTTAATTAATAATTTATGTTGGGAATAGGCTTTATATCTTTTAGATAAGCAGCTCTAATGGCATCAGTATATCCATTTTTTCTTAATTAAAACAGATAAAATAGGTTTTTATGCGTATTTTGAATCTCATTCTCTTGATCTTCCAGCGTCTAATAAACAAATTAATGAATACACCACATGAACCATATTTGACAATCAGTGACTCGTTCTGGCCACCTTATGTTGAACTGCTGCTGCGATATGGAATTGCACTGAGACATCCAGAGGATCCAAATAGAATACGCTTAGAAGCCTTTCATCAGTAAAGACAGCTTTGTGACTATTTAAAAAAATGAATGTGTTGAAGTAATACTCATACTTTAAAAATGTGTGTATAAGTCTTTGGGTGTTAATTTCTTCTGCTTGGACAGAGAGTGTGTTTTGATAAACCATACCTGTTTTAAGTTCAGTTACTTATGAATCTTGTGAAATGACAAAACTTCCTTTTAACTTCAAATGATAGCCTTTCATCCCATAGTTGTTGACTTTGATAGTAATTACTATACTGTAAAATTAGGTAGTGCTTGTGTTCTTGAAAACTTTCAGACTGCTTAGATCATATTCAAATTCAAGTTAAAAGACTATTGTACACAGACAAAATTATTAAATTTGTTTTTTGTTGATTAATTTTTAAAAAATGCTGGCCGTATGACATGTTTGTTTTCTTATGTAGTGCTGCTTTGAGCTTTGTCGATTACTTATGTTGGTAAAAGTTTTGTCAGTCAGGGGTCTGAAAAAAACAACCGTCACTGAAAAAAGTTTTTGACAAAAGTACTTGTGAGGCTAGTGCTGTGTTGGCTAGGATATTAACATGTATTTGTGTACACGTTAACACATGGTTTCACACACCTTCCGCCCCACTGGTGATCATGGGGAGCTGACTTAAAAGCAGGTTCCCCACAAACACCGGCTTCTGTGGAGCCACCTCCACCCCCAATCCTTCCCTATCACTGCTGTTCTCTTCCTCCTCCTCCCCCGCATGTAAATGTTTAATTGCTAAAAATGTCAGCTGTTACACATTCGTACAAATACATGTATTTGTACATCCTTAGTGTTGGCAGAAGTCATACTCTCACCAACTTAACTACCATTGCTCATTAGCTGTGGTTTAAGTGTGCCAGTGGTATAGCTCTCTCCAAATGGCATAGAGTAGCTGCATGGGAGACCTTACAGCAGCGCAGCAGTAGTAGTACATCTGTGCTGCTGTAAGACACAGCTGTGGTGTTACTCTAATTCTCTTACTTGCTTTTAATATTTATGCTATATTTCTGTGCCGTCAAAGCTTGAACTATCTTAATTCTGTTTGTAGGTTTGAAGACGAGCAGTCTGAATTTTAAAAATATTGAGAAGTAGCTTGTTGCAAATTTGTTGCTCTCAGTATGCCTTATGACCAATAGCAGAGAACAATGTTGGGTTAGCAATAAACATTCAAGGGATTCCATAGATCTTTTTGTGCTCAGAGTTGGAGATTGTCTATCATGACATTTTGTGTGGGTTATATTTTGCAGATGCTGGTTGATGTTGGTGGCATGTGATATATGTAATAGGTCAAACTAGATCAGAGGTCCACAAACTAGGGTCTGTTCCCTAAAGGGACATGGAGAAATGTTCAGGGGGGCATTGTTGACCTGGGCCTGCCAGTATGATAGGGATGGGAAGGAAGCATTGTCCCACCTACGGCTCTACTCTGGCCCTAGCTCCTGGCCCTGCACCCAGCCCAGTCTCCAGCCTTGGCTTTTTACCCAAGCCAAGGATTCCCATGCACTCCGTATCATCACACTCTTTTAGGTAAAGCAAAAGTTTATGAACTACAAAAGATATATTTAAAGTGGTTCTTCTTCAAGTGGTTGCTCATGTCCATTCGAATCAGGTGTGCGCACCGTGTGCACCGTGTCTTCCGGAGCATTTTCCCTAGCGGTACCTTTAGCGACAGCAGGGCGCCTCTTGGGATGATGCTGCTATGGCGGAGCATAAGTACCCCTGCTGGCACTCCCCCTCCTCAGTTCTTTCTTACCGCCCATGACGGTCGTTGGAGCGTCTCTCTCCGTTAGAGTAGTTAATGGTTCCCATTTCTCTTAGTGTTGTAAATAGTTCAAATTAGTTAGATAGTTGGCAGTTTTTTGTTTTTTCCTTCTTCCCTCTCGGGGTGAGGAATGCCTGGGCCGCAAGGCTTTAAGGCTTGCGCTAAATTTGTGCCCAAGTGAGACCCTCATGATAACTGTTTAAAGTGTTTGGGTGAGGGTCACCTAGCAGACGCCTTTAAGATCTGCAGGTCGTTCAAGCAGCGCACAAAGAATAGCTATATATTTTGTCTTCCCTTTGTTGATAAACAAACCAACTTGTTTTGCTGTGCCTGACAAAAGTTTGTTGTTATCTTGCATCAAACGTTGGACTACGCACGGTGGTGATGTCTGCAGAAAAAAGGTAATCCAATTGTGCTTCATCATATTCCCATAACATTCGCTGCTTGTCTCCTGCAATTATTTTTCTCATAACATAACCATGACCAGTGCAAATAACAGTGAGGACATAATATACCTTTGGTTTACTCCACTTGTCATTAATGGTATCAATACTTCTCTCTCTCCTGGAAATGTCTTATTGGAAAAATTACACATTATTCCTAGGATTTTATTTGCTTTGTTCACAGTATGCCAAAGTCCTTGCTAACGCCCCTAACCCAGGGACCCCTTCTTCAGCCACAAATCAACTGGACCCTCTCTTGTGCCATCTCCCATGTTTTTTATTGTTCAGACTAGAAGATGGTGGGAAATGAGTTACAGAGCTTTTTGTTTGCAGCAAACTCAGTTAGCCTCTCTAGCTGGGTAGGGAGCACATTCAGCCACTCTCTAGCTCCTCCCCTTCCATTTCCCTTCTAGCTGTCTTATCTAACTCTTTGCTATGCTAATGAGGCCCATGGCTGTTTCCAATTAGCTCCTCAGGCATGGGCTTGCTCAGCTGGCTTCAACTGCCTTTTTCAGCCAGTCTATAGTGGCAGAGCTTTGGCTTAGCCAGCAGCCTATCACAACAGCCATATCATATTGAGATGGCTCATAGTCATTTGTGATCAACTCGTGCACCCAAGTCCCTCTCTTCTATCACTTGCATCTTGTAAGGCCCTGCAGAAATTCTTATTATTAGACCTTTAGTTCATGATCTTACTACTTTGTACTGTTGAATTTCTTCCCATTTCTGTCACTCCAGCAGTCAGAATCTTTAGATCTCCCTATATGATACAAGGACGATAAAGCCATTGCGGATAAACTAAATGATTTCTTTGCTTCATTCTTCATGGCTGAGGACATTAGGGAGATTCCCAAATCTGCACCGTCCTTTGTGGGTGATGAATCTGAGGAACTGTCCCAGATTGAAGTGTCATTAGAAGAGGTTTTGGAACAAATAGAAAAACTTAATGTTAACAAATCTCCTGGACCGGATGGCATTCATCCAAGGTTTCTAAAAGAACTCAAATGGGAAATTGCTGAACTATTACCTGTGGTTTGTAACCTATCCTTTAAATCGGCTTCTGTACCTAATGATTGGAAGGTAGCCAACGTGACGCCAATATTTAAAAAGGGCTCTAGAGGCGATCCTGGCAATTACAGACCGGTAAGTCTAACTTCAGTACCGGGCAAATTAGTCGAAACAATAGTAAAGAATAAAATTGTGAAGCATGTAGAAGAACATAATTTGTTGGACAAAAGTCAACATGGTTTCTGTAAAGGGAAATTCTGTCTTACTAATCTATTAGAGTTCTTTGAAGGGGTTAACAAACATGCAGACAAGGGGGATCCAGTAGATACAGTATACTTAGATTTTCAAAAAGCCTTTGACAAGGTCCCTCACCAAAGGCTCTTGTGTAAATTACATGGCCATGGGATAAGCGGGAAGGTCCTTTCTTGGATTGAGAACTGGCTAAAAGACAGGAAACAAAGGGTAAATTTTCAGAATGGAGAGGGGTAACTAGTGGTGTCCCCCAAGGGTCAGTCCTGGGACCAATCCTTTTCAACTAATTCATAAATGATCTGGAGAAAGGGGTAAGCAGTGAGGTGGTAAAGTTTGCGGATGATACCAAACTGTTTAGGATAGTCAAGACAGAAGCAAACTGTGAGGGACTCCAAAAAGATTTCATCAAACTGAGTGATTGGCCAACAAAATGGCAAATGAAATTTAATGTGGATAAGTGTAAAGTAATGCACATTGGGAAAAATAACCCCAACTATACGTAAAGTATGATGGGAGCTAATTTGGCTATTACAAATCAGGAAACAGATCTTGAAGTTATCGTGGACAGTTCTCTAAAAACTTCCACACAGAGTGCAGCGGCGGTCAAAAAGGCAAATAGGATGCTAGGAATTATTAAGAAAGGGATAGAAAATAAGACACAGAATATCTTACTGACCCTGTATAAAACTATGGTATGCCCACATCCTGAATACTATGTACAGATGTGGTGGTCTCGCCTCAAAGATATTTTGGCCTTGGAAAGGGTTCAGAAAAGGGCAGCTAAAATTATTAGGGGTTTAGAACGGGTCCCATATGAAGAGAGGTTAAAGCGACTGGGACTTTTCAGTTTAGAACAGAGGAGACTGAGGGGGATATGATAGCGGTATATAAAATCATAAGTGGTGTGGAGAGGGCGGATTAAAAAAAAGTTATCTATTAGTTCCCATAATAGAAGAACTAGAGGACACCAAATGAAATTAATGGGTAGCAGGTTTAAAACTAATAAAAGAAAGTTCTTCACACAGCGTGTAGTCAACCTGTGGACCTCCTTGCCAGAGAAGGCTGTGAAGGCTAGGACTGTAACAGAGTTTAAAGGGAAGCTAGATAATTTCATGGAGGTTAGGTCCATAAAAGGCTATTAACCAGGGGATAGAAATAGTGTCCCTGGCCTCTGTTCGTCAGATGCTGGAGAAGGATGGCAGGGGAGACACATTGCTTGATCATTATCTTCGGTCCACCCTCTCTGGAGCACCTGGTGCTGGCCACTGTCGGCAGACAGGCTACTGGGCTAGATGGACCTTTGGTCTGACCCAGTACGGCCGTTCTTATGTTCCGCCTCTGTATTGCCTCTACTGGACTTTTGTAACATCAGCAAATATCATTCGCAGACCCTCTCCTTTTTGTGCCAACTTTATTAAATTATTGAATAAGATTGATCCCCAAACCAATTGTTGAGGCACTCCACTAGTAACCTTTCTCCAGTCTGATAGTTTACCTCAGCACAACCCATTACCCTTTCCCATTTAGACAGTTCCATGTGATCTCACAGTACTCATATTAATCCTTATTTTCCCTAATTTGCCTAATAATTTCTGATGTGATAACTCTCCCTGTGGTCTTTCTGTATTTAAACTGTCTCTTGGGTCCATTCCATCTTTATTGGTGAGACAATCCCATTTCAGGTCTAGTCTCTTCTACTTTATGAGTAAAGCTGCAGATTTTTTGTGGTATTTTTATTTAAAAAATCACAAAGTAATGGTAAGTTCAGTAAAAGTCTCAGATTTAGTGAGAGATCTGTGACTTTTTTGGTTATTAAAAACTGCCCTGAAAAATGAAGCAGCACCTACTGTTCAGCAGTGCAACCCTAATCCCAATCTGGTCTAGAGAGAAGGCCTAGGTGGTGGGGTTGGGCTGGACTGGAGCATGAG